CCGAGTCCTCCACGGCACCTCCCTAGACTTGTCTGGGCATGTTCTGCGCCCTGGCTGCTTCATCGGTTATTCCTGGGGACTATGAAAGTTTTACGACTCTGCTGACATCACCTTTATTTACCTTTTTTAAATGAAACTCTGTGGATGTGCGGACTTATCTGCTGTAACAGTCACTGGATTCAAGTCACCAGCAAGTGAGGGGACAGCGAGAGCTCACATGAGAAGGGGATCTGGTCAAAGGCATGTGAAATTTGCAGAAACAGCCAAAGCACAGGCACACCAAGGGTTAAAAAAAAAAAACACCTCATATTGACATTTCTGCCAAGGAGCAGAGCGCCGACAGTGCTGCAGAGCTGCCGAATCCCTGTTCTCGTGCCAGGTGCTCGTGCTGGCAGAGCCGCGCGGCACCGCAGCCGGTTCACGCTGCGGCAGCAACAGGCACGCGCGGCACCGCGGCCCGCGGGACACACACCGGAGCCTCCCCTGGCAAAGCAGGGCGAAGGAAGGGGTTTCCCCCCAAGCAGCTACTTACTGTGCGAGAAGCGTTGCGTGATGGGGGTCCCGGGATAGGGGTAAGTGCGGCTCTCCCACTGGATATTTCCTTCGTGCACCGCTTTGATAAAGCCGTGGTAGCACTGGTGGGCCACACCTGCAGGAAGACAAGGCGGGACACGATGCGGGCACGGCAGGAAGGATCCGGGCTCGTGCCACGGCCCCCGCGCAGCTCCCGGTGCAACGGGCACCGCGCTGCTCCCTGCCCAATGGCCTCTGCAGGGAGCAGCGAGCTCGCAGAGCAACGGAACCGATCGCAGTGAGTTATCCTAAGTGAACAGGGAGGGAGGAGGAGGAGGATAGGCGTTATGGAAAGAAGCTCATTGGGAAGGTGTATAAATACCCTGGTAGACGTTGAGGGAAATCACAAGCTCTTCTCTCTGGAGCAGCTGCTAAAACTGAGCTCTGCTGCAGAGCGCGGGGCTGCAGCCCAACCGCAGCCGCGGGGGGCCCCCCGCCCCCAACCCCGTGCG